TATACACATATATAGTCATTTTAAGTCAAAGCTTCTTGCCTACTCTTATGTGACAAAAGCTTAAGCCCACCTATAACTTGAGCGCAGCATTAAATAGTTTAACTGCACTGTTAGACTTGTGCACGTGGGCATGACGCTCATTAAAGTTAATTTCATTCAGGTGTTTCAAAACCACATATTCAACAAGGAATTTAGAGTTTCTAATGTGGCAGAAAATCAAATTTTACTGTGACTCTTTTAATTTGCTTTTCAAAAAAATTGAAAGMAAGAGTTGTTGATGTTTTTTCTCAAGAGACTATTGATCTTTAAAAAACAAAAGACTGTGGACGCTGCGCCRTCCCTACCTCTTTGGAATTGACACGCATGTCTATCCTCTAATTCACAGCACACAGCCTGACTGGACCACGCCTTGGAGTGTAAAAGTAGAGTTTATAATTAGGGGGTTGTGGGGAGTTGAAGGGTCAAAGCAGTGCAGATCACATTCTCTCACTTGTGACAGCTCTGTGAAACGCTCCAGTCACAAAGCTTTGGTCAAAACTCTTTCATTTGGATTTTTTAATGTCTAAAATACAGCAGTTTATTATTAGTTTTTTTTTACATATTTCCAAACACAAACAGAAATTAAAACTGATAACTTACACAATATTTGTTAACTTTATTTCACCATGTCTGTTGAAGGCATTTAAAATGAAACGTGCACGCTTCGATGTTCTTCTAAAAGGAATAATTACACAGGGTGGTGCTTCTGTCAACAGTCCTGTGTTTTAATGCATCATCCACTAACTTTATTGAGCGAGCTGATCAGTTCATGAGTGACACACAACAGCCAGCCAGCAGCTGAGGTAAACTCACTCCCACATGTTGAGTCATGACAGAAAAATGAAACATTAGAGCTGAAGGAGGGAAGTGTCAGTTCAGATATTCTGAGGTCATTGCCCTGTTGAGTCCTGTTAGGGCAGAAACCAACACAGGGCACTTTGTTACTGCGAAWAAAGGTTAAAACACCTAGAAGATGATCCAAAACAGCTTAAAGGCTCACAATTAAACCTCTATTAGTTTGAATTAAGTGATGTTTTACTAAACAAATTAACAATTTGTCACAGTTTTTTTTTATTCATGTTTGCTGTTTACAGTTTTAGGATATATAATGGTGGAAAAAGTCCCACAGAACGGTTAAATGTATTTAAATCCAGTGTTTTTTAGACAAAGGGGCCTGTAGGAATCTACCCTCCTGTCTGGGCTTCTCTCTGCTCTCGTTTGAAGTCTCAGAAAGGAGAGAGGGAGGGATGTTTTTTTTTTTTTTTTTTTTGGAGTAGGGGAGGCGGGATCTTGTGACTCACCAGCAACTTCCTCAGTAGTAGCTCAAAAGTACCCGGCAAGCTGCATCCATCTTCGGCTCAGAGCTTTTGGCTTCAGTCAGAAGAAACAGGGAAAGTTTCTCGGTGGAGCCATCTGTCATCTGGTCCCAGATCTGATCCCAGATCTGATCCCAGAACCGGTTTCTCCGTTTCTGCCTCCAGACTTGTTTGGGGAAGGTGCGTTCACACTCCGCGCATCACTCCTGGTAAGAAGAAGCGTTTTAATCAGCCTGTTTCCTCCCTTTCTTTTCTTTCCCTTTTTAYTTCTTTACTGTAAACCTTTGTATCAGTACCTCGTCTTAGTGATTGTTTTAGGCTTCTTAAAAAAACTTATAGGCTTTTTTTTTATTGCATGTCGCTTTAAAAGTTTCYCCAAGAATATAGACATCAAACAGTGTCACATTTTTAGATTATGAGCAGAATAATAAATATTTTAATTTGCAATATACACAAAGAGGCGTATTAGGAATGGAAAAAAAGTTAAAGTTTAAAAATAATCTGCAATTCATGTGTCTTAAATTTCCAGTTGTATTAATCCTGGTTGAACAGGTGGTAGGCCTTTTTTCTACTAATATGATTTTAAAGCTCAAACTGCTTTCAGCAGGCACAGTTCTGGCTTTTCAATAAAATATTGTGTGTAAATGAATGTATTGACATTATATTGTATTCATATGTTATATGCCCAAAGTGGGGGCCCATGGGCCAAAATTGGCCCGCCAATCATTTCGTTTGGCCCACCAGCGGTTACTAGATTTTAATTGTGTTAAGATTAAATATAAAATACAAGTAACTACAAGAGACATTTAGATTAGATTCAAGCCCATATCTAGATTTGCACACCTTATAAGACCCCGTATACTCAAAATTTAAATTATGAAAAGTTTCATGAGCCTTTGCTGCCCGAGCATACATTTAACTTTCTCCATGTCCATGGGCTGAAAAAATAAAAATAAAAATAAATTTCGGCCTGCGGCCCTCAGATTGATTTTAATTTTGGCCCTCTCAGGGAAAGTGTTTGGGCACCCCTGTTTTATATGGTAATGCTGCAGAGTTAAACAAATGAGTACCATCTGAACCTTTATCTGTTTACATTTACTCCTTTTCTCTGTTACACTTACATCTCCGCACACATCTTTGCTATCATATCTAAATAAATTTGCAAGCAAAGAAAGAAATCATATTCATGTTATCTCCTTGGTGGGGAGATGTGATGTGATGTGATGTGAGTTAACTGCACTTTCTTTAAGAAGAGTTTGGAACCAGTAGAAGCTCCCAGTCTGAAGACTTCAGAGAGCAAAGTCCTTCAGTCTAAACTTGTCTTTCCTCTGGCAGGAGGAAGTGGGATAAGTCAGTGTGTGTGTGTGTGCATGGGTGTGTCTGTGCTGCAGCGTCTGGAGCAGTTTTGGCCCTGCATCAGTAATACGTGTTGTCATCATCGCGATGACTCTTCTGCACACTTGTTGCTTCATGTGGGCGCAGTAAAAAGGGGGGCAAAGGGTTCAGGTTTGTCAGCGAGGAACAGGAACACGGTCACAGGATAGAGAAGATACTTTGTTCACACATCTTGTTTTGTCTTGGCTTTAGCTCGAGAGACCTTCAAAGATTTTAGATGCACCCGGTGGACATTTTAAAATACGGAATCTTTTTTTGTGTGTTCTAGCARCATACTGTATTTGTTATCAGCTGAAGTTGCAAGTTTTCATTTGACAAACTAAGCTAAATTAGAGTCTCTTTTAGGAATCTTCATGCAAAATGATTTTGTCAAGTGAGTCTTAGAAGTCTTAAAGGGCCTGTGACATACATATTCTTCAAATGCAAAAAGTTAAAGAAAACATCTTTATATTTAAGAAACTTTGCAAAATACACAATTTTACCCAGTTTGTCACGTAACCGGCATATTATCTTTTCAATTTTGCTCAGCCGAAGTGAAACAGGAAGTGACATCAAAGGGGAACTCGGAGAAAGTCGCTGGTCTTTGTTTATTAAAACACTGTTCACTGAATCGTCTTCATCTCTCTTTGATAGAGACTCAAAAAAATGAAAGAAACATCAGATTTTCCTCTGCACTCTGTGTTAGCTGTTGTAACAATGCTCTGTTTACATTCCAATGTTCTCCTGTGACATCACTTCCTGTTATTTCACATGTATGGTTCATCTTCATGGCATGAATTTTATTATTATTTCAATGCCACTGAGTATTATTCACCATGAGTTTCTGGTCTAATGGAACAGAAATAAATCTGAGACGGAAGAAACAAACTTACTGATATCATGAAGTTCCCTGTTTACACGTCCTGCAGACAGGAAGGAACACGTTTTTGATATGAAGCGCTGTTGAAGAGCTCTCTGATCATATTCCTTTTAGATTTGTGTTTCTCTCTACTGGTTCCTAAAAACTGTCTTCTTCCCGTGATACTGTTAACGCTGCACCAGTTTGTGGCAAATTTGATCCATCAGGTGATGTTGTGCATCAGATATACAGTATGTGAGGTTTATGATTAAAACTCTTTGCTGCTACTAAAAACAAATTAAATAAACCAATGAACATTTCTCGAAGGAATGTGTATCACCCACCAATTTGCATGCCCAATTTTTAAGCAAAATTGTTAGTGTTTGGGTTTGTGTTAGAGGAGGATCATTGCTAACAACACACCAAGTTTTAGCTCATTATCTGTAAAAAAAAAATGACTGAATTATAGTGACTTTTGTATTTTCCAAAGTTGATTAGTCATAGTGGTCAAGTGATTGCTTTCAGTGAGGTACACTAAATTCTGTCTATTTGTTCATGAGATATTTTGCGAACAGACAGACAAATGAACACACAAACAGAAGCAATTAAATGATTATCATCTTTTCATGATGCATATATATATATAT